ATCGACCTGAGTTGGAATAAGGTCACAGACGTGGGTGTGCAGGCTGGTATTTTCCAAACCTTTCTCCATTGGATATTTGTCGAATGCAGAGTTAGCCAAAGCAATAGCATCACAGAGTGGGATTTGGAAGCTCGGGGGTTCCCCCAGTTGAGTGCAGATGATTTCACCAAGTATATCCAAGTATATATTACTGTATATATATATATATATCATAAAAGATTGAGATTTACACAAAAAACTCAAACAGAGAGGACAAAGGAAACATTCATGATGGAGGAATGTTTTTGGCACTGGGAGGGGAACCACCCCACACCCGCCAGGCACTCGCAAACGCTTTGTCAGTCAACAATGTGCTGACTCACCTCGACCTGAACGGAAATGAATGTAATACTGTTGTGGGAAAGCAGGCCTGGCACGAAACAGCCCGGTTTTGTTACACCTTGTCTTTAACAGCAAAGTTGCACGAGGCTCTGCACGAAATTGAGGATCTGCTCCAAGTGAATCGAGGAGCAGCAGAGGCTGCCGGGTGCGTTGTGCTCTTTGAAGGTATTCAGAGCTATTACTGCTGCAACTAGTGGCCGGCAAAAGACTGGCTTTTGCACCGTCAGAACACCTGTCGCAGGCTCCTGCGACCACGCCCGCAAAACAAGAGCAGGATGCGGGAGACCGTGCAGACGCATTTTGTGGACATCCGCGCATCCAGGACACTGCAGATTTTTTGGGTTTCCCCACCATTCCCCACCTGTCAGTCTCCTCCTCGCCTCCTCACCTCCTCAAACGCGAGTATCGGACAGCAGTGTCCCCCGCCGGACCTCAACCACAACACACAACCACAAAGACACATCCACAGGACACAACCACAACACACACAACCACAACACACAACCACAACACACAACCACAAACACAACTACAAAGACAGAACCACAAACACACCACCACAAGGATATATCCGCAACACACCACCACAAAGACACATCCAGAGCACACAACCACACCCCACAACCACAGCACACAACCACAAACACACAACCATAAACACATAACCACAAACACATCCACAAACACAACTACAAAGACACAATCACAAACACACAACCACAAATACATGTTCCTAATACACGACCACAACACACAACCACAAGTACATAACCACAAATGCAACTACAAGTACCCAAGCACAAACGCACAACCGCAAAGACACATCCACAACACACAACCACAACGCACAACCACAACGCACAACCACAAAAACATAACCACAAATAACCACAAACACAACTACAAAGACAGAAAATGACATGGAATATATGGCTGGAGAATGTTTGAGTGACCTGCGACCAGTGGATTCATTCGCGCTCCTCTGCCGGAGCGCGCTGGCCCACCGCATGAGTTGAGATAGCGCATGTTTGTAACTGAAGCAACCTTTCTTTTGTTCATACCCTCACCTTCTGCATTGAGCGTGTTGCCTTACACAGACGCGCGCCCCGGCAGCGGAGCGCACAGCTTGGAACATGTGGACGCATTGCTTTTGCTGTGGTGTCGTTTCGGTCAGTTCGCTTCTGTCAGCAATTGAGGGGATAGAGCCGCAAAGGTACAGGTAGTAAAGGTCAAGGGTCACGAGGCCCGTCAGAGAAGCTACAGAGCGCTCTGGCGGAGCGCGCTCTTGTGCGCAACGGTTTTCTATGAGATTGTTGACCGGGGTGTACATGTTTGTTTGATCCACTGTTTGATCCACAACGACGCATCTACAACATACAACCACAGACAATGCACAACCACAGCACACAACCACAAACACACAACAACAAACACATAACCACAAACACAGCTACAAAGACAACTCCATAGACACAATCAAAACGCACAGCCACAAAGACACATCCACAGCACAAGCACAACACACAACCACAAAGACACATCCACAGCACACAGCCACAACGCACAACCACAACACACAACCAAGTAAAAGTTTGGAATATATGCCGGATAGATTGCCACAGTATATGTCAAAGAAAATGTTTTTGTTGTGTGTCCTGTACACTTACCGGACCAGACACCTGACAGGCGGCACGCCGCTGTCTTGCAAGAGTAACAGTTACATCTGAGAAGCAGCAGGCCGAACAAATGTTTCAATTCATGCCAGAAAACTTGTCAGCTTGAAATGTCATGGTGGGCATTACTCGAAGTGAAGTATTTTTAAAGAACTGTTGTTGTGAAGCGCTGTGAGCCAAACTCTGATTCGATCTGGAAACTTGAGTTATGCATATGTCATCTTGATGCAGTACTATTCCAGAAACACTATGAAACACAAGTCCATCCGAATCCTGAAAACTCCATGGCCCGCACTCCCTGACTGTGGGATCGCCATCACGCCGGCCAGCCATCCACCCGGGATCGGGCTTGTGCAGCCAGAGGAGTTGGCGCGTCAATTAAAGAAAGGCGGCGCCATGAACGAAATCTTTTTTGATGGTAGTGACGAAACACTTGGTGATGACGAGACATTTGGCGATGACGAAGTCAAGGCCAGGGACGTTGGTCGGGACTGATGGAAACTGGAAACCGTGGAGGGCGGAGTGGCGGAGAGTGGGGCCAATGACGTGCCAGGTGCTGGTTGAAACCCTGAAGGTGAACCGCAGCGTCTCCAGCATCTACCTTGCACAAGCAGAGATCACCGACACCGGTGTGAAGGCCACGGACGTCCGTGTTAGACCGGCCCCCTGTGGTGACCGGTCCAGTGCTGTCGGAACCGACATCGGTGCCAGGCGATTGCCGAAATGCTGATGCACAACAACAGGATCACAAGGATCAACCTTGATTACAATAAAATCGGAGATTCAGGAGTGGAGGCCCTGCACGGGATTGTGAGTGAGTGCTGGTTTTAATTCCGAAACCATCAGGCATTAATAGATGTGTGTTAGCTGTTGTGTTTTGGTGTTGGGTCATTTGGTCACGGCATTTACTATCGCATGGACAACATCCTCGATGTGAAAGAGTGGGAGGGTCCGCTTTGTAGCAGGGTGGAAGATCAGAACTTTCAGCATTTGTACCCCAAACATCTCAAAATCCAGAGCAGCAATGGACGCCGGCCCAGGATCCCTTTTTGATCCATTTGTGATGGGCTGTTTGTTTTGCTCCGATGTTGCTCCGATGCCAGGCGTTGGCGGAGGTGCTGAAGCACAACCGCAGCATCATCCACATCTACCTTAGATGGAATGACATCGGTGAGGTCGGTGCCAAGGCCGGGTCACTCCCATAGGTGCCAACTCGACGCCCTGCCTTCGCTCCTAGCGGCGCTTTCGCTCCTGAGGCGCTGGCCGAGGCGGTGCAGGAGAACGACGTCATCCTCCACATCGGCCTTGACCCCGCGGAGTCGGGCCATCAGTGCGAGGACGCCGGACGCCCGGCACGGGCGCACGCCGGCCGCGAAGGGACTCGACTCAACTCGGGCCGAGGCGATGAGGCGCATCGACCAGCGGTGCGAGGCAAACCAAGAGGCGCTGCAGGGCGCACGGTGATCCGATCAAGGCCGTCGTTCCAAGGTGTTTCTGCTATAGAGTTTATTTGGACGCGTACCAACTCCTACCAACTCCTCACAGTGTCTCAATGTCAAGCATGATAAGCATGTGTGTCTTTACACATCAAGATTCAAGATGCCACATTTAGACATCAAGTGAGTACAGAAGGTGCCATGGGTTTTGAGTGTACATTTCCGCGGAGGGGCAGAAGTTGCCAGATCCTCGAGGTTCTGTTCAAAGGGGTAACCCCGTACATGAAATGGTCAAGCATTTTTTTGGAAGCAACTCACACATCGTTTGTTTGTGTGATCATCGCAGGTCAAGGCTCCAAGGTTTTTCTTCTATACCCACCCGGAATTTCTGGTGGCAGACCCCCTAAATCCTTGTTTTTTAGAAGTTCTGAAGAGTTTCCTGCTGGGATTTGGAGGTAGAAAGCGGGGTTACCTTACCTTGGGCGTCGACTTTGTACCGTTTTTCTTTGCTCTGTTCTGGTTTTGTTGTTTATGGGTTGAGGCAACAATGTCCATGGAATCAGACGGAAGCATATGGTATAAACATGCAGTCCCCCATAATGCCCTCTTTTGGATTCAACAGGGTTCGCAGCCGAGAACGTCGAGCCAGGCAAAGGCAACTGCTACTGTTGAGGCCTCAGGGTGTTGCAGTTTCTGCTGGAGGGAAGCCGATCCGAGCTTGGATACAAACAAACCATTGTTGTCATGTGTTTTAACTAAGATGTAGAGCATAGACAGCTTAAGTTTTATTAGATCCCAATAGCATTGACTCCATCAATTGACGTGAAAGGCCAAGGTTCCAAAAAGTCTTGGGCATTTTGGTGCGAGCATCACTGAAGATTCAGGGACATCCGGTGGTTACAAGGTGTTACATAGCCACGCGGGAGCCAATAGAAATCATAATAATAATCATAATAATAATAATCATCATCATCGTCATCGTCATCATCCTCATCATCATCATCATCCTCATCATCATCATGGATTTTTTTGGTGGCCCCAATCGCCAAATGATCCTCGTTGCTGTTAAGCACGTCTACTGTATTTGTTTTAAGTCTTTGCTTCTGCTGTGTTCCAATGGTCATTTTGTAAGGTACCACCACGCACAATCTAGTTAGAATTTCTCCGCCTCGTCGAGAGATTTGATGGCCTTATCTGGATCGGCTAGCACTTTGGCCAGAAACTCGTGCAAGAGCTGAAGACCGACGGGGCCAAGAAGGAGATTGATCTTCGGAGCCAGTACATCGGGGATGCCCAAGTCCAGGTGCGCTTGGAGAGGCGCTTCGTTCTTCGTTGCAATGTCATGGACTTGCCAGGCGCTCTCACAAGTGCTCGAGATCAATGAGAGCATCACTCACATCGATCTTAGCAATAATCCAATCAAAGATGCTGGGGCACAGGCCGTGGATCCCTTCTTGATCCGTGATGGGCTGTTTCTTTTCGTTCCATGTGGCTCCAATGCCAGGCGTTGGCGGAGGTGCTGAAGCACAACCGTAGCATTACAAACATCGACCTTCGATACAATCAAATCGGCGAGGTCGGTGCCGAGGCTGGGTCACTCCCGGGTGTCAAGCCCTGCCATCGAAAGCGCGACGCTGGGCTGGGCTGCTTTCGCGACTCAGGCCCTGGCCGAGGCGGTGCAGGAGAACGACGCCATCCTCGAGATCGCCCTTCGTGGAAATCCATTGACGGACGGTTCCGGACCCGAGGCGCGGGCGGCACGGGGCAGACGAGGGTCAGAGCGGGGCTCTCGGTGTGGCCGAGGCGCTGGAGCGAATCCAGGAGCGTTGCGAGGCAAATCAAGCTGCCGCAGAGGTGCCGAGTAGGGTGCAGATGGAGGGGAGAAGATGGGAGACGTCTCCAAGATCTCAAGGTCCAACCATCTCCTGTGGAAGGATCACAGGCACCAAGCTTTGTTTGGATCACAGGCGTCAAGCTTTGTTAGTACTCGTATCTTCTATCCACCCATTTGGGGTGGCAAACACCTCCAAATCCTTGTCGTCTTCGAAGAATGACTGAAGAGTAGGACTGGTCCGGACCGGGGGTCGAGGTCGGATGCGGACTCGGACTTCGGGGGTCGGGACGACCGAACTCCCAGTGTTTTTGCTCCGGTAGGACTGGTCATACCGAGTCGTGGCTCCAGAGTCGGACAGAGAAGACTGAGATCTGTCAGAGGGATGCGGAGATACTGGAAGGATATGGAAGGATTGGAAATGGGTTAGAGTTCCTGTCGAATGCCCAGGAGTTCGGAGGTCCCAAACAGGTCCTCGAGATCTGACTGCTGCCAGGCCAGAGCTCAAAGTGCCGGATGAGGCAGCGCAGAACATGTGCCATGTCTTTGACGGAGAAGAGGGCTGGCTGAGGGCAAATGCTCAGGTGTTCTTTTGTTTTTGACGTCCCATGATGAGAACTCAGATTCATCCTCAGATGGCATGTGTTGGGTTTTTGATGTAGCATGCATTTAAAGTATTTGATTATGTATCTTGTTGGGTGGATGCAGCGGCGCTGCGATACTTTGGGCAAGCGGTTTGACTATATAGGGGCCCAAATCATGAGGCCGGAACACTTTAGTCAACTGCTGAGAGGGTGTTCTGTGTTGGGTTTTCATTTCGCCACACAAATCACCCAACAACCATCCTTCATCATCGTCAATCCGGGCGGATCACGACCGAAGGTTCGTTCGGGGTTCCAAGAATCGGTTCGGGCGGAGGGACAACCCCTGGGCGGGAAGCAGGGCGTCCTGGCCCTCCGCCCATTGGTCATTTTGGAGTTGAATATGTGCCACGCCACTAATGTTGATTCTATTTTACTGTCAGTGGGCATCATTTACTTGGCTAAGTTGAGATCTGCGGTTTGTTCTGGATGTCTCTTGAATTGTCTTGGACAGAACAAAACCCGCTTAACAGTAACAGAAGGATGTTGGGCACCAGCTGTGAATGAGCCACAACTGGTTTCATTTGATTGCAGGTGTCCTGTCTTGTTAAACCCCACTGAACAACAGTCATGTTGCAACACTTTCCAGCAGCTTGGCGTGGCTTCATCCATGCAATGAGTTTGTAAGGTAGCACCGCACTTGCGGGATCCTGGCATCGATGATTGGGATGTGTTGGGAACTGTAATGCATTGATCTTATGATGGAACACCGAAACCAGCATCTCAGCCTTCGCACTGCATTTAAGGTCAGCCCTGGAAAAAGCTCGACGTGCAGTTTCCTTTCGTTTCACCAATAGGCTTTGATGGAGCCCAGGCCAGAAAAACAGGATGGCTGGCTGGCTTGCTGCAACGCATAGCCAAACCATGATCATGAATCATGACAATAAGTTGTACGTAGATCTCAATAAGCCCCTGGTTTGGGGCTCTGACAAATATAGATGTGGGTCAACAGTACACACAATACACAGCGCAGACCAGACACTTCGGCGCCAACTCTTTTTGTTGTGTTTTCTGGAATGTGTTCACTACCAACAACGAATGCTTTCCCGAGAGACCCTATCAGGATTTCGGGTGACATTACCAGATAGGGCTTAGATCAATTGATTTCTGCGCTGGATCGAAATCCAATCATTCCGGCGCTTCCCTCGTCATGGGGTGCCATATCAAATCCAATATTGCACAAGGAAACTCACAAAATGATACGTACCGTCGGTACGATTCACCAGCCGAGAAGCCACATTCAAAACGAATGTTGACCGTATATATCACACCAAGGTCGTTGTAGCGAATTCGCTGGTTGATCATCATTCTCCGCTCAGCAACACCCGACCGCGTTCCACTCCGCCGACCGTGTCATCGCCGGTCGTTCATCGGTCTCGTTCATCGGTCGACGGGGTCGGATCGCCCAGGTCGACGGACACGGAAGATGTCGACACCCCTCGAAGGACGGTCTTCACATGTGAAGGGAGGAACGACAGGGAAGGTGGCGTGACCTTAAGGACCTTCTAGACTCTTAATAACCCCCCAATTTGAATTGGACATCCTCTTTATATGGGAGGTCTTTAATAAAGTCAAGAGTCTACATTAAGGAAGTTTTTGGTTTGGCGTGTTTTTGGTTTTCAACAGTAAAAGTCGTTTTGTGTGAGGTCCTCCTCACAGACCCGGACAGTGGTCAAAGCCGAATTCCAAAACGCGTCAGATGATTGCATTTGACTGTGACATGTGGCTTTCCATGGTGTATGTATACGAGTCGTTTGGAACAGAGCTCAGCGTTGACCCGAACGGACTTGGGATCCGCTTCTGATAGGTCCCAAAGCAGCTCAACTCAGCTCACTCAGCTCTCGTCCGGAATCCTGCTGAGACGAGCACCGAGAGGATCCAAACACGGCGTCGACCACCTGCTGTTTTCCACTATGGATCGAGGCGCTGGATGAGTGCAGGTTTGTGGTGGACAAGTGGCTGGTGGCTGGTGGGATTGGTACTGTTTGGTTGGAGGTGGGTCCCTGAGATGGTGGGCAGTCTTTGGAGATCATTTGTGTTTTTTATTATAGGTGCTGATGGTGACTGGTCCCTGGATGTTGGGGATTTACCTGGATTTGTGATGATTTGTGTTGACTCAGTCGCGTGGTTTCGCAGTGGTACATGGTTTGCCTTGAATGATCTTGAAGGCATCAACAATGGCAGCTGCTCTTCACGTTTGAAACATGTTCTCGTAGTGACAAGTCGGAAGGGAAGTTCCGTTCCAACCGGATTCAGCGGAGCATTCATCCATTTGGTGTTAATCTCTGGAAAACTACTTGGCTCTCCAATCAGTTTCTGCTCCTCACTTGCACGTTTGTGAGTTAAAGAGTCAAAGGGTTCTACGTATGATTTATCGAACAGTTCCCTCCAGGTGATGTTCTCTATGCTGTATAGCTGATTTGTCAGCCAACCAGATTTTGCATGAGGAGGTCTCACTTATGCCAAGTCTCATTTCAATCGTGCGGCAAAGATCAGCATAGTATCTTCTTGGTTTACAAGACTTGGATCACCTCCAGGCTCTTTGCTCCTTTTTTCCTGGGTCCGTTTCGGGAGCGTTTCCCAAGGTCCCTAGTCCTAGTTCTTTCCCTGCTTAAGGAGGCTTATGCATCACCTCTTATGTACATGTGTTAGACAAGAACGGTACGTGCAAGGGAACTTTCTTGGAGTCCTGGAACCACAAAACCACCATCTTTCAGAAGAACAGGGGAACCTCCAAACTCCAAACGATATATTTTTACGATTTATTTAACTTCAATTATATTTTGACATTATAATTACTTATTACTGTAGACCTATTTCACACATCTGACTGATGCTCCGGCTAGGCATCGGATCAGCGCTCTCATACCTGGCTCCGTTGACAGCCGGGGTTCTCACTGCTGCTCAAGAGCGTGACGACGGCGTAGACGTCCACACCAAGTTGAGATGGATTGGATGGATCCTAGACCAGTCGGATCAGCATAAGGCATACGTGCGTTTGGTACATTTGAGGTGTGCTTTTTTGCACAGCGGTGGACATGTTTGATGAATTCGTCCTATCTGACTCATGACGAGCAGCTTGCGTAGCTGGGAGTAGCTTGAGATGCAATGGATCGTGTGGACTGGAAATAGAGAGTTTGGAGAAGTATAGTATAGGTATAGGTGTGTATTTAAATAGGGAGACACCCTGGCCCAATCGCTTTTGGTCTATGTTCGTTCTCCCAGGGGTCAAACTGGGCGGTCTCCGCCCCATTTTGATACACACCACATTTTGATGAGTTTGTTTGGTTGAGATTCCTGACGTTCCGACAAACCATCGTCACGTTCTTTTGGCCCGCTGCTCAGGAAGTGAATGACAGCTGAGAGATTATGCAGGCGGACAGGGTCATAAAAAATATAATTGGTGTTTTGTTGGTGTTGGTGTTGGTGTTGGTGTTGTTGTTGTTGTTGTTGTTGTTGTTGTTGTTGTTTAGGTGCCAGAGAAGAGAAAGCCCACATTTGCTGATAAGATGTTTGACAGACAACCACGGAGGTACGTTCAGTGTCTGAGTCCAGGTGGCCAAGAGTGTCCCCTGAGTGGGTTTTCTGATAGGTCCCGAGTCAGTTCACAGGAGCAAGTGTGGGTGACTGGGAGATTCGCAAACAGGTTCGTTTGGGGGATTCGGTTTTGCGGTTGGCTGGTGATGTGAATGGTGGCTCCATTCTCTAGGGGGCTTTTTCTGGCTGGGTGCTGGGTGCTGCATCATGTCTTCAAACGTCATTGTCGACAGGCCACACGAGCCGCGAACAGCAGCGGTTGGATGGGCTCCTCCTTGCACAAAAACAGCGGATGGATGGGCTCCTTTGTTTCGAAAAATCTCTCTCCCTAGGGTTCCTGGCCCAGATCCTAAGGTTCGGTGGTTAGACCCCCCTGGCACCCACCCCTGGCCCATCTTCGAAAGGGAGTTGCGGAGCGAAAGCAGGAGCGCTGAGCGGCAGCGATGGTGACGAGAGAGCAGGCACAGAGAGCCAGCGGCACGCGCAGGATGTGCAGTTGTTTACTTTGAAGCTTTCCTGCAGTTATGTGCTTTGTGCTTTGATTGAATTCTTTCTGGAGCTGCAGTCATAATATGGAAATGTATGGACGATCATTATGTTGCATACTACCATTTATGACAGTACAAATAGCATAGTCTAGATATGATGGTTATTGCCTACCTCTTCTGCACTCGCCCAAAAGTTCTTAGTCTCGCCGCGCGTTAGAGATTAAACTGGGGCCATTTGGTGCGAAGGTCTCAGAGTCGGCACAGACCGCAAGATGTCCTGAAAAAGCCACCGAGCTCTTGGGGTCTGTGCCATGGAACTGACAACATACAGACGCGGCCAAGCGAGCCAGGTGGTGGGGCTGGGTTGCATCGGCAGGCTGCAGTACGTGGTCCTGCTTTGGACACGAATTCTCAAGACCAATGGGCTTCTTTGTTTAAAGCTGCAGATAGAGAAGAAGACCCCAGCTGCAGACCTCAAGTCTGGCAGCCAGTCTGGCAGCCAGTCTGGTGCTCTCAAGTCTAGAGGGGGCTTTGCGGCTGTCGCCTGCTGTTTTCAATACTGGGGCGATAGAGGATGTTATAGGGCGACAGCGGTCAACATGATTGAAATTGACGTGGGAGGTCCAAGAAGTCTGACGAACAGAATCAGAATGAATCGGATGACAGTATGGCCCAAACCCCAGAAATGGACGATTTGGTTACAACGAATGATTGGGATATTCGACCAAGTTTTGGCCGTATTTGACCGCAGCTCAGGTGATCCTGGATGTTGTTTGGCTCAAAGGACATTTCCGACCGGCTCGTCGAGTTTTTAAAAGAATGGCTCGATGTGATGCATGCAACAACAAGGCGGCCAGTGATTGTGATTATGGCCTTTGTGGCGGATGCTGCACTTATGGAGCATGTTATCGTCATGGGTGGTTTGAATACCAATGCCAGACATGCAACCGGCTTTTCGAGAATGAGAACAACCTGAATCAACACATGCGAACTCATTTGCCTCGCAACAAGATGTGCCCAGCTTGTGGAAAGGCCTATTCCTCCATCTCCAGTGTGACCATGCATGTGGAGGGGGGCCATTGTTCAGTATGTCAGGGCCGCGGAGCAGCAATTGTCCACGACTTTATGCGTCAGAATGCGCCGCATTTCTTCCGCCCAGCTCTTTGTGATGCGAGCGAGACAAGCGAAGAGTCAAATGGAGATGAGCCATACTGCAGGCTTTGCGACCGATCATTCAAGAACTTCGGGGCGTTGCTGCAGCACCAGGAGGCCAAGCATGCTTCGCAACAAGCTCCCAAACTAGCCCTGAGAAATGGATATTATTAGATGGCTGTAGGTTCAGACCGGTTCAGACTGCCCCAGGAGAGTGGTTCGCTGTAGTTCAGATTCCACGGAAGAGTCTCCTGTTCAACTTTGGTGTGTGTGCATGCGGGCAGACCGGTGTGACCTACTGCCAGATAGTCACTATAGAGTCTTAGTCACTGGCAGACCGGTGGGGTCTCCAAAACGGAGCCCGACCCATCCTGATTGTTTTTCCGCTTCGAAGCTTCAGACATGAAAGGCGATATTGGGAGCTGCGGCGAGAACACCGCCACGTCAGATGTTCATGCAAGTGATAGTTCTGAGATGCCCTGAGAGTATTTATATCGTTTCGCTTAGAAGAGATGGGTGTGGGTCAATACCTCTGTTGGAGACTGTTTATGCAAATGCCCTTTTTTTGTGCCAGGCGATGTGCTTTTGTGTCACACTATTGACTCGTAAGAAAGGAACAGTGTTGTTTAACTACTGAATCAGCCCTACATTCTTTTCGTGCTGCCAGTTCTATATGAAGTTTCCAGTCACGCCAGCCATGACCGCGAAGCCGGAGGCCGTGGCTTGAAATGAGGCCTTCATTTCGAGAATCACGGAATCACGTTGAGGTCGGAAGTCGGTCAATGAGTCCACCACATGGGCAGATAGATAGATAGATACCCTATGGATCCAGTCGTACCCTCTGAGAAGGTGGGACTGGGGTGGGTTTGGAGGGTCCAAGTACCTTTTGAGGAGGTACTTGGATCCCTAGGGATAGATAGAGAATTAGATTAGATAGACAAACCAATACATCCATCACCAAAGGATTCATCTTGACAATATTTGTTATTTAGATGGGCTACTTGTGATTGTATGGACCAACCACGTTTGGATGATTCTCAGTTCTCGACATCCCTTTTTCTTCCTTCTCCTCCTCCCCTTCCTTATCCTCATCCCTGATCATGCTGCTTGATGGCTACTTGTGCAGTTCATTTCACTTCTGTTGACACCCTCCCGGCCTTCTACTTGCAGCTTCGGGGCTGCCCAATCGAACGCGCATGAAATGTATACCCAGTTGACAATCTTCCGATTGACACATAAGCATCTCAGATCATCTCAGGACATGTTTGCAAAGACTGACAACCGAGCATCACAGATTGGCGGCGGGCTCACTCATGGACTCTCGCATTGCCAGGCATTGCAACAACAGCTCCAGGAACAATTGTACATCCAGGCGACTTGTGAGTTCATCCAAGCCTGCGGACGTTTGTTGAGAGAAGCGAAGAGGACTCATCCACGTGCTGTTTCCTCTCATACCCATGTGGTGAAACACCGTCCCATCCGGCGCCGATGATTGGTGGAATGATCGGTCTGCCGGCGAAAGGGATGAAACCGACGGGACGACACCAGCTTCACAGCTTCGTGACGCCGGGACTTCAGTCATCGTGGTGGACACCTTCGCTGCACGTTCGCGCGACGGACTCGACGTCGGAGGCGGCGGTGAAACCACTGAACATCGGCCGAGACGACGAGGGCAAGGGGTCATGCTGGGTCATGCTTCTCGAACACTTGCCACTGGACATGTGAAGAACACCATGCGAGCGCTAGTCACGAAAGCTAGCACCAGCTAGCTGGAGTTTTCCTTGCTTTAGCAAGTGAGGGGCTGGAATCCTCGAGATCGCCGCATCACGTGAAAACTTCATATGTAGAGGGGGGCCACCCCCCTCCGCGGGTTCAACTCCCCCCTGGGACGCCTCTGGGACACCTCTTGGACACCTCTTATGGCATCCACTTTGGTTCAACTCCTCCGTGGAGGTTTTGGGATGCGATGCAACAGATTCAACAGACTCACAAGCTAAGGTTGGCTGTGTCATTGCTGTTCGTGTGTCTTACATGTTCGCAACGTTTTACCTCATGAGCGAGACCGTGTGAACCATCCCTCCAACAGCCCCATGCATACGAAAAAAGATTTGCCTCACTCCGCTTGATGTCCCACCAGTCCTTTGTCACTGGACGGCGCTGTATGCTTTGCCTCCACTGACACGGATGCATCCCTGCTAGCTTTCGTCACCTACCCTCGGCCTCAAGTCCATTTTTTCATCACACGCATGATAGTACTATATATCATCATCACGTACTATTTGTACTTGAGTCTCTTAATTCGGCCTCGGATCATCACCCGAGTGCGACCCGGTCGCGTTTTGCTACCCGGTGGACGGTATACGGGCGTAGGTCGGTTTTCAGCCGGACGGTTTCAGTCGCCGGTCCAGTTGAGCGCCACAACGATGGCGGTCAGGCAGTGATGATCCGAACAGCATGAGCAGATGAGCAGCGACAAGCGGGTGTGCTGTAGGGTGTGCTGTGGATCGAGCCAATGGAGCCAATAAAGGGTCATGAGTTAGATCTCACAGGTGTTGGTATGATCAGGAGGCGTAGAAGGCTAGATGAGGTCCAAGTTCAACACTTGCTCCCCCTTGCCTCCAATTTTTCATGACACAGGAAGAGATTTAAGCACGGGCTTGCGGCTTGGTTTGTTGCACTGTATCAAAACAAGTGAATGGGATCTTTTGCCGCACTGTTCGTATCAACCAACGTTCACCTTCGGGGTCCCATCTTCTGGAAGGAACAGGCCGATTGGCTTGGCTTTACTCGCAAGGGTTCTTGGCATCAACCACCAAGTGGTACTGTACGAGATGTGTCTCAGTACTTAATCTATTTAGTACTGATTTCACATGATTTCAAGAAGTGCTTCTTGATGACATCCTCCACGCGTGCGTGCGTGTGATCCGGCTGTTGGACGCGCCGTGTGAGCGCAGAAGTTCTGCCCGAAGTCTTCCAGGAACCGGTTGGCCCAGCCGTGACCAGACCGTCGTGGCCAGCTTTGGAGTCTCAGAGACTGCCGGAGATGGCAAAGAGCGAAGCCGTGAAAAAAGCCATGGAGGTGCAACATAGCTCCTCCAAAGATGCATTAAGCAGGTACCTAGAAGCGATGGCCTCCAACCTACTTGGCCTCCAACCTAAGAGCAATGGCCTCCAACCTAATACCTAATACCTCCAAAGATAAATGTGTTTCATGATGTCACAACTTGTAACAGACTGGAACAGACTGGACAAGCGGATTACATTGAGTCATATTGAGTCCAGCCCCTTGATTTGGTCACAACCTATCAAGACCTGTAAAGACAACATGGCCCGCGTTGACCCAGTCTATCCCCGCGTGCGCCATTCGAACGAGTGAACGCGTGCGTAACCTTGATTGGACAGATGGGAGTGCATCATGGAGAGATGTGGAGATGAAGGCAAGCACCCCATCACCTGGTCCTGTGGATCTGAATGGTTTGTTTTCGGAACTGGGTCAATCCCCAAACCTACCAGGACCCCCAAAAAAGTGGTGAATGGACACCCCGAATCTATAACAGCTTTTCGGGTCTATAAATAGACACCCCGAACGAGTCGGGTCCTGGTATAAGATGTTTTCCTTGCTTTTTAGAACAGCAAGATCACCTCGATCACATCGCAGAGTTTTGTTGTCCCAAAATACAGCCTCAACCATCCTCTTGGACTACGTCCTTCAAACATGACCGTTTTCACAGAGGTACCTGGACCGCGGTCTTTTCTGCAATCTCCCAACTTCTTCACCACTAACTTTGCGGCTGGTAGTAGATTAGTAGATATTCTATTGTTTTATGTGAATTGCTCGGAGCGCCTCATTATTTGGCTCCAAAATAGGATTGAACACTCAGCAAATGCTTCTATGGAATCTCAAGCATGACAAAACATGTGACAAGGTTCTGCAGAGTTTCCGCTTGGAAGCACAGCATTCTGACCATTTGTCAGCACATGTGCCAGCGGCAACAGGTGTGTGACAATGTTTTTTCTGCGTGGAGCAAGAAGGTTTGCCAAGGTGGGTTTGTGCATCAAGAAGAAAACAATCACACATTTCAACAGTTGCATCATACATAATTAGATCATCAATTTCTTTCATTCATGGTTTCCCCCCAGTTGTGCAATGGATTCTTGAACAGCATGCAGATGCTGCTGTTTCGCCATGGGTTTTTGGCGTTGCTTTTGCTGGACCTATGTGTTGCATGGGTGGGGCCCAAATTGGAGGGTCCGGCAGGCGCGTCAGGAGGAACTCGTTCAAGAAGCGACATGAAGTGACTATGTCCTAGTAGCTTCTTGTTACTAGTAGTATGGCCAGGAGCTACTAGTAGCGTCCTTGCTCGTAGTAGCGATGTCCTTTGTTACTAGTAGCTTCTTGTTACTAGTAGCAATGGCCTCCAACCTACTAGCGATTGCCTCCACGTAGCGTCTAGCTACTCAATATATCTATATAGTAGACCTGATGCGCCCTTGCTCCATGTTCTTGTTTTTGTTCCTGGGCCATCGCAGGCGCTTCTTCTGCTACAACCCCTCAATTTGAACCCAATGCGTCTGGGCTTTCGGGTAGATCCCAAACTGGAGAACAAGAACTGCGTCCAATCGCTTCTCCTCGGTCGCTGGATGTAACAGAGCCATGGAACCGGCAAGGTGAGCAGCTGATGGAGTGGATCCAACACCAAAGGAGTTCGCAGCTCTTTTGCCAACTTATGAGGTGCCAGGGTTTGGTTTTCCAAAATTGTTGTGTTTTTTTAAATGCATTGTTGTTTGGGTGCCAAGTCAGGCACAGTGCAGTTCCTTTTCTGTTAGGGATGGGGGAACATGAACAGGAATTTGAATGATTCAACACAAGAGATTGAGGGTCCAATGTCGAAAATCCATCAATTGTGGTTGTGTGTTGTGTTTTCATGGTGAGGCCGTGTAACATCTATAGTGATTTTGTCTTCAACATCTACAGTAGCAGATCTACCTCCCAGCATGGTTTGGTACCACAGAAATTCTATTTGGTCTTCCACCCCACATGTCGTTTGGCAATGTTTTACACCGGAGATGTGTGTTCCATCCCGGAGATGTGTGTTTTTCCATGTGTGGGCGCTCTCTGGCGACTGTGCAGGCAGAGACATAGCTGTACGTTGACAGAGACCGGTGGTGTCTACTGTGAGGAACGAGGCGAATGCCTGAAGAACTGCGCAGCGTGCACTCAGGAGAAGGTAGAG